TCGGTGCATGATGCTCCGATTGGTGCGTAATGTGTTGGAGATGACTTTTTGTAAATTAAGTTGGTTTGAGATAAATTTTGCGTGAATTTTCAAAGGGACACTTGTTTTGCACACCTATTGGAGTAATTAAATATATCTAGACACTTTGAAAGGTTCTTTTATGAAGGAATATGCCTCTTGGATCAAATAACATATCTTTTGAATTCAAAAGAGTTGACTTTTGGAGAAAACTTTTGGAGGGAATTTTGAATTCTTTTCAAAAAAAGGTAGTCTAAAATGAAAGAAGAAGACTTCAAACAGTTGGGAGAGAGTTGTTAGCAGGATGAGAAAGGAAGAGAGAAAGTTAGCGTGAGAGTTCAGAGAGAGAAGAGGAGATTTTCTTCTAGGGTTGTAAGAGGAGAGGAAAGGTGAGAGATTTCTTTTCATTACACTTCTAAGAGAGAATTGGGAGCAATTTTTAAGAGTGAAAGGATTTTTGAGAACTTTTATGGATTTGCTTGGGAAGGATTATGAGATCAATTGTATTTTTATTTCTTTTCTTCTGTAAACTTATTTTTATATACGAAATTTGTGTTTTATCGTATCCTTCTCATGAATTCTTAGTAGTCTTCTTTATTATTCTCCCTACTTTGAGATATGGTTTTGTGAAGAATTTATTTTGTTCTTTATGGTTTTAAATGTTAATAATTTATGATGAATTGTACTCTAATCTTCATTTACTTTTTGATATAATCAATTGAAATTTTAAAACTTGTTCAAAACTTGTTGAGAGACATATGTTCTGAAAAGTGATATGATTTCTACAACATAGGGAGATTAACATTTGATTTCATGGGAGAGTTTTTTCATGGGAGAGTTATTTCATGGGAGAGTTTGTCATCCATGGGATTGGGTTCAAATAAATAAGAAAACATACTTTGTTGGATGCAGAATTGGAGATTTTAAGGTGATAGATTAAAATCCCCAATTAGGTCCAGTTGATTGGAAACTAATGCGAGATTGTTACCCCCCAAGTGAGGGAGTAGTGGGAGCTCTGGAGTGGAGGCCGGCATCCTTCCAGCCTAACCATAAAATTAGGGACCAAACTTTGGGTTTGTCAAGTATCCTCCCAGCCTAACCACAAAATTAGGGACCAAACTCTGGATTAGTCAATTTTCATCATAACACTCGGAAGAAGGTAAGGAATAGGATTGCTCCTATTTCACACAAAATAGTTTATATATATATATTTTCAATGGTTTCAATTTCTTCACAATTCATATACTCATTGTAAAGAAGAATGATGCTTTCTTCAATTTGAATTTCACTTAAAACAAAAACTTTATTTAGTTTTTGAATTTTACTTTTGAATGTTAGTTCTTAATTTGATAACTTTGTTTTTTAACTGCATTTTATATAGCATTCACCTTAGTATTTAAGATTCAAACTTCGCATTTTACTTCAAACTTTGCATTTTACTTTTGTTTTTTTATTTTTAAATTATAAAATAATTTCAAAAACTTACTCAAAGGATTTTTATATTTTTAAATTATAAAATAATTTTAAAAACTTACTCAAAGGATTTTTAACTCAAAGGATTTTTAAACTTCTCTGTGGGATTGATATCTAGGACTCCATTAATGCCCTTTATTACGTGAGCGATATGTCTACTTATGTTGATTTAAACGAGGGTTTGGCAGTTTTAAAAGAGTTTTAAAAGATAAACTATTTTCATTAAAAGTATTTTTGTTGGGATTATATTACATATTTATTATATATCTGTCGTGTGTAATTTAGTAATATTGAAAAATATTTGAAAAAATTACACACTAAATCTACCCACCATCAATACTTTCCTATCACACACAAAAGAACCGATGAATTCTTTCATTTTAGCTAACCAAATAAGAATAAATGAAAAAGGGAAGTGTAAAAAAGTTGCCTTAACATTGAAGTGAAGGAGTTGTTGAAGACGTGAGCTACTTAGAGAAAGGTCGTAGAGACTCCAAGGAGGAATGCAGTCATTGAGGATGTTTTCAAATGAGGGAAACACATCGGAGATGTGTTTGATGAAAGTGAGTGAGAAAATGAGGATGTAGGGCACTTGCATTATTTTTTAGGTCACTAGCGTACTCTTTGTGTCGACTAGTGTTTGACGCTGATATGTGAGAGGCGCTTCGACACTAATGTTACGCAAAACTTAATATTAAAATCGTTCATGAAATTTATTTGGTAAACAATGATAAATAAAAATTATATGCATTCTTAAACCCATATTTTATACTCATTTTTTGTGATATTGCACTTTAATGAAACTTTAATGAATATTGCACTTTAATGAAAGGTATTTTTCATGTTTTATTGCAAGTTATTGATTTTTAGGACTTGGAGCAAAAAGGAAACAAAAAGGATGAAATTTGAAGTCAAAATGGAAATTTTTGAAAAATTGTTCAGTGTCGATGACGCCAGACTGGGCACTGATGGTGCCGTTTGATAGAGACTCAAATTTAATTATATGGCCTCTGGCGCCGATGGAGCCAACAATGCTAGTGTCGATGCAGGCTCTGTTTCTAGAAAGTTCAACGAAATTGGATGCTTTTTGAAGAGTTTTTGGATGCACTTATTGGAGAACCAACCGTACACGTTATTTAGAGCTGAAATTGATTAGGAAAGAGCCCCCTTCACATCTCTTCGCGCTCGTCCACTCACTTAGATTTCCTCTTCGCACACCTACACCCACTTTACTTCCTTCCATGACATTCCATACCATTAGTTAGTTATTTTTTTTATAGTTTTGAGTTTGTGTGGTGAGTTTAAGTGTGAATTCTTCTCTAAGAAGTGTTGGAAAGGAAGAGAAGTAAGAGATTTCTTCTTCCTACATTTCCTAAGAGAGACTATAAGGGAGTTGCTTTGAGAAAGAGTTTCAGATAAGTGTTATTTGTTTATTATTATTGTATGAACTTTCATTTATATAAGAAATTTATGTTTTTTTATCTTTCTCATGAAGTCTGAGTACTTTCCTTTATCTTTCTCCAATCTTTCTCCTATGGTGAAATGAAAAGATAATTTGGATGTGCCAATGTTAAAATATAAATTAAATTGTTATGGTTTTTCAACTTCGCTCTTAATTTACTTTTCGATCTGGCCAATTAAATTATTAAAATATGTTGTGAAACAAATGATCTGGTAAATGGAGTATGATTTCTATAATAGAGTAAGAATCACATTTTAGTCCATAGAGTATTTCATTCTTGGAATTAAGTGCAAAAAAAAAGAGAAATATACTTTGTTAGGTGTAGAATTGAAGATTTTTAGGGTTACAAACTAAAATCCTCAGTTTGGTCTTATTGTTTAAAAACTAAAGTAAGAATTAGCCTTCAGGTGAAGGGAAGTGGGAGCTATAGAGTGGGAGCCAATATCCTCCTAGCCTAGGCACGGATTTAAGAACTAAACCTAAGATTAGCCAATGATTTTCTATAACACTGAATCATGGTAGAGAATTAAAATTACTCATATTTGGCACAATACATATTTAAACCATTTATCTCTTCTCATTTCACCAAAAAGCTCATTGTAGTGTGAGAGATGCATTTTCATATAAGAAAACTTCATCACATAAACATAGTTTAGTAGTTACTAATTTAAACTTTGCATTTAAATTTTTCTGGTTGTTATTAATTTAGTTTTGATAGTATTTAAAACATTTGAAATTAGTGATAGTAATTTAATTATATTTATGTGAATTTTTCTAGTAGATTTATTATATCAAATTTAAACCTTCCTCGTGGGATCGATATTTGGGACTTAAAAAAGAAAGACTTATTTTACTTGATAAGGATACATATACTTGCGTAGAATTCCAACATTAAGTGCTTAACGTTATTAATCATAAAATACAACATAAAATTTTTGGCATCATTGTAAAGCGAAGTCAACTTTATAAATTTTACAAAACTATATTTCCGTTGGACAAGTTTTTGGCGCCGTTGCTGGAGAAGGTAACGGTAAATTAAATAAATTTTGTAAATTAGAAAATTTAGAGATAAATATATATATCATATATATATACAAGATGCTGATGGCTGGACCATCCAGAGTAAAGACTGAGAATGTCGGGCTGATGACATTAAACAAAGCGCTTTTTGGGGGCAACCCAAATTTATTTTTGTTTATTTTGCTTGTCTATTTTAGTTTGGAATGTTACACACACACACACACACAAATATATATATATATATATAGTGAAGGAGCTGCATGGTGGTGCTTTGGACCTGAGTGAAGCTTGCTTTCTCTTCAAAATCTCCCTGGGGTTTGTGGTGGTAGTTTGGATTTTGCCCGGGAAGTTTTTGTTTCAAGTTTGTGTTACTGTTCTATTGCTAAAGTTGCTATTAGCTACTGTTTTTTTTTTTCCTAGGGCTTTCCCTTTTTTGCTGGTTTTCCTGGTTTTCAGTTCTGATTGATACTTTTTGAGGCTCTGAAATTACTTCTCTCTTTCTGTTGGACTTTAGTCTTTGTTGTTTGCGGGTTTCTTTCTTTCCCTGCCTTTGTCTTTGGTCTTGATGTCCTCAATGGCCTACCCCATTGATGTAGATACCAATGCTCAATGGGCCAAGGCTACCTTTGCTGAAGTTGTTGGTCGTGGCTTGAAGTGCCTAAATCGTTTGAACATTTGGTTTTCCCTCAATGTTTACAAGATGCTGCTACTAGGAGGGGAGTTTTCCTCTTTGTTAATCCTTTTGGAGTAAAGGATGGGGAACCTGAAATTATCTTCTCCCCTCAGGAAATTAGTGAGCTCAATGAAAAAGTTAAATTCACTCTAGTTGGCATATTTCAGTTTGACCACCCTAAAATGGATTTGGTAAGAAAATTCTTTGGGGATTTGAAATTAATAGGTGCTTGGAGGCTGGGTCTAATTGATGTAATTCACCTACTAATTTCATTATTTAATGAAGAG